GTTTATTATAAATATACTCTCAGGGCTACCAGTCTGGTTAAGCCTGTTTATTATTCTCACACTTACCGGATGACAACCCTTTACTCTAGGTCACTGCAGGCTGATTTGACATGTCTTTGTCCCTTTTTAATTACGTTTTTCATTTTCTTTTCCTACCTCTATGAGTCTGTGTATTGTACGTAGTACTTACTATACTCTGAATTTTAGTATTTCCCAACTTTCCAACTTGGGATTCTTTCTTTTAGTTTTTTTCCTTTTCTTTCTCTCTTTGTCTTATCTTTTGATTTGTGCTCTTCTTCTTCCTCTTTGAATCAAAGAATACGGATCATATTTTAGAAGCTCTAAAATCATTTTTCCATTTTTCTAATTTCTATATTTCCTTTTTAGGAATATGAAAAAATTATACACTTCTTGCATACATGCTCAAAATTCCTAGCTTATACCCACTGTTTTTGTACTTAAATTTAGGATATATATACAAAAAACACGTCAAATGTAAAACCCGGATTTTAAAGATGGAAAACGTCTGGCAAATAAAAAAAATCAAATAATGCTACTCCGTAAAATATTGTACAACTTTTGAGCCCGTTTGATTGTTTACACATTAAAACTTTACATGTAAAATGATTGCACGTAAAGTTTAGGATGGTGAAATAATTTGCATGTAAAATGGAAATACATCATTTGGTCATGATGTAATCTCTTTTTAAATTACACACAAACTTTTGAAAACATATAAATCCGAAATTGACTTCTTTCCAAGGCAGGGAAACATGTGCAGATGTGCTCATCTAATACGGCTTGGAGTATAATGGCACTAGTTAATTTTAATATATTTGCATTATTTTATTTCTTTGGGACATAAATGCGTAGGTTTTAGTTTCCTAGTTGATTTCAATTCTATTATTTTACCAAGGGCTCTGCTTGTATTTAACCGGGTTATATGGATGATCGAAGACAAAACATTATACTTCATATATTAGATGAGAGCGATGTTTTTGATGACTTGTTGAAGGTAATTGCCTACCATCTTTTTGAGTTCCAATTTTTACAAAATAGTAATATCTGATACCGAAAACCCCATTTTTTATATGTAGTATGTTGTAGTGATTTTTCTCATTAAAATATAGGACCTGTTTGGTGGCCTTGTTTTTCGACTTATAAGGCTCATCAGCTAATTTTTTCACAAAACACCCAACTTTGATTTCACGCGCTAAATTGTGCAATAATAAAAATAAGTAAGGTTGAAGTTACTTTTCTGATTGCATTGGCTGAAGTTATTGTAGAGGATCATTTTAGCTATTTTCATGTAATTTTTTGTTTATTTTATTAATTAGCCAATGGGCCTAATTAGGAATAGGAACCGCGAAAGGAACCCACAATCAGACCGGGATAGACAGCAGACCTCGAGGCTAGACGGAGTTATAGTGAGGTCGGACCTTTTTCAGGGCTTACGTGACAGTCTATCGTTCGTGCATAGCTATCTGGCAGCAGACAGGAATAAATGGAAGAAACGTAGACCTAAAAGAGATAATCATTGCACAACATCCAAGATATTACATGAGTCTTATTCGATTGATAAGTATTTAGAGGCCGTTTGGCAACACTATTTTTCGGCTTATCAGGCTTATCAGACAACTTTTTCACCAAACACGCACTTTTGCTTTCGCGTGCTGAATTGTGTAATAAGCTAAAAAAGTAAGGTTAAAGTTACTTTTCTGGCTGTATTGGATGAAGTTACTGTAGATGACCATTTTAGCTATTTTTACATATAACTTTTTCTTTATTTTATTAATAACATACGTAGTATATTTTAAAAATAATTTTTTCCTTAATCAGCAGAATCAACCAATGCAGCCATTTCAGTCAAAACATCATAAATTTTAGCAGAATCAGCGAAAACAACCGATTTTCATGCTATCAAACGGGCTCTTAATGTATCAGTTTCCCCTAGAACACTAGTAGCTAAAGTCTATAAATACTTCATGTATATCTCCTATCAAAGGACCGAATTCCGGATTAATAATGACGCTTTACGCTACTCAAATTTCATTTGCCCTCATATATATAGCTCTTATAGTTGGATTAAACTCCATCACCTTCGTTTTTAAATAAGTGCAATATGTTGAATTTTACACTATTCGCATGTTCTATTTTCATAAAAAAAATCGTGTTTAAATTTGTCCCACTGTAAATTTTCAAAATATTATTTTCAATTTAAAAAAAAATATTAAAGGTCACAATTGTGCATCGACAATTGTAAAAAATGTACTGTTGCACTTATTTAAGATCAGATGTAATATATATTGTATGAAAAGTCATAAAAATAGAAAAATAATTTTAGATCATTTTCCCAAATTTCTTAAATTTAAATAAGAGAAGCAAAGTAAAAATAACGGGATTTTTTTTTACATTGTGTGAATCTACTCTAGTGGAGGACAAAAAAAGTAAAAAGAATGAAAATAAAAAGCAAGAAAGTAAAAGAACGGAAGAGAGAAAGCTCTCAGGACGTAGAGAACTACTGTACGGAGTAGTTATTCGTATATACAGTACTACGTACTTTGTATGGGATACTGTATATGACACGTAAGAACAAAAAATAGAGAAAGTAAATAAGAAATGAGAAAAATATGTCACCTCAACCAATAAGTTGCTATGGGGGGTTGTCATCCGGTCACTTGACCAAATTGATTGTTTTCTAGTAGTAAGTGTATCTATTTGATGCTTTTTAAAGTAGATGGATTGAAGTGATTCATTTGATATAGTAGATGGGTGTATTTGACCATTTTTTCAAATTTTGTCTAACTAACTTTGTCTGTTTCTATTTTAAGTAAAGAATCTATGATTTCAATTAATTCTCTCTTCTGCACAAACTCCAATCACATAATTTTTACTTTATTAATCTTCATGTCAGTCAAAAAAATTATAAAAAAAATCTAATGAGAACCACCCCATTACCCCAAACGTCGGTGGATAGTGAGTGATATCTTAAAGAGTTATGGCCTATTTATTCGGGGTTAATCTAGGTTGTTGAAGATTCAATTTCTAGTTAACCCCGTTTGTTTGTATTTTTATAACAACAACCTAGGTTATGCGTTAACCTCACTTAACTCCTGAGAACCTGGAAGAACCTTAAATTGAAGAACCTCCGAATGGAGGGTTTTGGAGGTTAAGTTCTCATTTAACATAAAATGAACTAGTGTACCTTAATCCAAACAACATATATTACATTAACCTAGATTCACTTTGTATATTTCCAAATAATATTTTACGTATAAATCTAGATTTACTTAGATTAACCTAGTTTTTATTAAAACTGATGGTTACTTCACTTTATCGAGCCACATATCGCTACTTCATAGCAAAAATATCCTACGGAGTACTATATGTAGGAACCACTTCGCTATTGACCATGACATCGAAATTATTGCCCATGGCAACGACAAATGCTGAAATGCCTATTGATCATAGGGGTCATGTTGCAATAAATAATGATTTTCACATATGAAATACGAAATGTGATAGATCGACGAAACTTATCATGGGGCCGTGCATTGACGTATTCAAAACCAATTTTGAGTGGTGCCAAACCTTTTTTTTTTCAAACCTAAACTAGAATTTAGTCCCAAATAACAAGTACGGGGTACATTATTAATATTACAGACTATTTGATTAGACTTGGCTTAAATTATAAATGTATGTATAAAAGGAATTTTACTCCTCTCCATCTCCAGTTACTGGACTTCTCCCGTAGGAGAGATACAGAGACAAATGGGGAAATGGTGGGGTAGTGTAGAATAAAAGATGATATTTAATTATTATTTTTAAGGAGAGATAGAGTGAAAAAAGAAATGGAGAGAGTAAATGGAGAGAAAGAAATGGAGAGGAGTATGACCCGTATAAAAGTGTAATAGTGCCCCCCTTCAAATAAATAAATTTCTCAATCATAGCTTTTCAGTCAAAACCTAAATTATGAGAATGTTCTCGTTTTATTTTTTAACACAGAGTGGAGTATTAGAGTGCGCATGTTTTTACTTTATGGACTATTTTCAGTCTCAAACCAGACATAGATCAGATCAGACTCGTCTTGGATAGTAATAAATATCCAGAGGACAAATATTTACAAGACCATACCAGATCAAATCAGAACAGACCATCAACTTTTAGTCCAAATAAAAATATCGTACATGTCACTTTAAATTCTATTTTTAACAATTAAGCTTGCCCTCAAATTTTCAGATTTTTCTTTAAAATATTACACAATCATTCATAATAAATACTCCCTCCGTAACAAAAAAATCTTCCCACTTTCCTTTTCGTCCGTAACAAAAAATTCTTCCCATTTCTAAATCTTCCCATCATACCCTCAATAATTTTGAAAATAATACACTATTACAACTACTTTTTTTGGATTTATCCTACATTCCATCACATTATTCTACAATCTTCCTATCATACTCTCAATAATTCATATCCTCTTTCACTATTCTTAATCTACCTACTTTTGAAATGGGAAGATTTTTAAGTTATGGAATTAATTAGTAGATCCATATATACTAATATACTATATATGTGTCACTTTTTTATTTTTTATTTTTATTTTTTTAATTCTTCAATTTTATACCCTTACTATATACTAGTATTTCATTAAAATTTGGGAAAACAATTTTTAATTTTTTATGTTTACTCATATTTTGGAGGGACCATTTTTTTATTTTTCTCATATACTTTCTCTGTTCCTTTTTAATTGTAATGGTCAACTTTTCAGGTTTGCCAACTCACAAGTTTGACTATTATTATCTTTCATTCTTTATTAGTAAAAGAAATTAAAAAAATTCAGATTTAGAAAATTTAAAATGAGAAGAATTTAAAAATATTTTTTAAAAATTTAATTTATAATGCGTTAATAAATAAAATATAGTCAAAATAGAAGATATGGATAGTGCAAAAAGTCCAATTAAAAAAGAGAGACCAATATATATAATGAAAAAAATATTTCAGTTGAATTTGCAATGATTAGAGCTGGATAAGAGCGTCAAGAGAGACCAATACAATTCAGCCATACATACCCATAAGAAGAAAGTTTATACAGTACGAAAGAAAGAAATTAAAGATGGGAAGAGCGGAAGGATGGACTAGATTACGGACAGCCGCCCTTTTGGTCAACGCCATATTGTTGGGCGTCGGAAACTGCGCCAACCCTCTTCTCACGCGCCTCTACTTCATCGGCGGCGGCACCCGGATATGGTTTTCCGCCTGGCTGCAAACCGCCGCTTGGCCAGTCACTTTCATCCCTCTTCTCGTCTCCTACCTCCACCACCGCCGCCGCCGGAGCCAGACAAGTGACTCCGGTGAGTTCCAACACATCACGCCGTTTCTTTTCATCTCCGCCGCCCTCATCGGCCTTCTGATGGGCCTGAACAACTACCTCTTCACGTACGGCGTCTCCAAGCTTCCGGTCTCGACGGTGCTTCTGATCGGGAGCTCTCAGCTCGGGTTCACGTCGGTGTTCGCTTTCTTCCTTGTGAAGCAGAAGTTTACGGCGTTCACGATAAACGCGGTCATTTTGCTGACCTTATCGGCGGTTGTTTTGGGCGTCCGGGCGGGGAACGACCGCCCGGCGGGGGAGTCGAACAAGGAATATATTTTGGGGTTTGCTTCGACTGCCGGGTCGGCGGCTTTGCTGGGGTTGGTTTTTCCGTTGGTGGAGTTGAGTTATAGTAAGGCGAAGAAGGCCAGGATTGAGTATAGTACGGTTCTGGAATTTCAGATGGTTCTGTGTTTTGCTGCCACTCTTGTCTGCACGCTTGGAATGTTCATAAACCATGACTTCGAGGTTATCTTCTCTAAATTCAACTTTGAATTTTTTAACTATTTGACTAAGTTTTATTTATTAATATAATAGTGTATTTTTGAAAAGAAAAAAATCTCTGTATTAAATTTGGGGAATTGTAAATTTTTAAAATCTAATTTTTTAAATGTTTTCACTAATACAAAATTATATATATTAATAATCAAAGTTGTATCTCGACAAATGTAAAAAATTGACTATTGCACTTATTTAATAATGGAGAAAGTACACACATACGCATACTCCTTGCACTTCAATGTTTTTATTTACAGTCATTTTAGTCATACCCTATCAAATTAATAAATTTAGACAATAATGACATACTGATGAAAGAAACATTTACCATACATGAACACATGGGTTCAAATCAAATTAGACTTAATTAGAGTGTTTAACCAAAGTCTAATTTGCTAAATGTCTATTTTGTAGGTACTTTATTAAAGCTGAAATTGGAAAAATTGACCTAAATATGAGTAAATGGGGTTAGAATTCTAAAATAGGACTACTATGTTTATCTTCCCGTAGTAATAAATATTGATAGGTTAAATGCACTATACTGCAAGTATTTGGCAGTCACGCCTACACGATAGCAGTAAATACTGACATGTTAATCCTATTTTGGAAATAAAAACAAAAACTTTTAAACTTCATTTACTACTAGTTTGAAAAATCTCTCATTTTAATTTGATCTAATTTAGTCCTGTGTTTATGAAATCGGCCCGACTTGACGGGTTGTCCAGGAAACTGCCGACCCCGGTAAATCGCCAGTCCGGTACAAATCAGAAACCGTAAAAGGTCAAAACCCGGTTAAACCCATCAAAAATTTGAAAGATCCGGTCGATTCGGACAGTGGATGTAAAGACGAAGAAGATGTCGTAAGGAGAGCTTCCATCGATTTCGATACATCCTTTAGACTTCCAATTAAAGTCACAAAGATTATCGATTGATAGTCTAGCTATGATTTCCTTTTTTAAATCTGTGCATACAAAGTAAATTAAGAAGTATTATTGGTAGGGTCTGTAACTTTGAAATACAGCTGAACGGTTGGGTAAGAGATGATGACTAGGGAGTGGATTAGTATATAAGTGGAGGGGAACATGAAGATTACAAGGGGGGAAAACTATCAAATAGGCCCTCATACTAATACGAAAAAGTCAATTAAGCCCCGAACTCAAAAAACATCCAATTAAGCCCACGAACTATAAAAAACGAGGCAAAACAGTCCTTTTAACAGACAATTAAGCGGTTAAAAAGAGATAAGGAACAAAGAAAAGAAAGAGAAAAGGAGAAAAAGAAAATGTAAAAGCATGCCACATCATTTGCCACACAGGCAACTTAACTGGTAACGGTTAATATCCTGCTAAAAGGACTGGTTTGCCTCGTTATATTTAGTTCGTGGGCTTAATTGGATGTTTTTTGAGTTCGGGGGCTTAATTGACTTTTTCGTATTAGTAGGGGGGCCTATTTGACACTTTTCCCTTAGAAGTGGGTATGGGGAAAATGGAGAGATAAAACTGAAAAAGTAATTGATATTGAGTGTACTTATTCTGATTCTGCTAAAATTTATGAAATTTTGGTTGAATTGACTGCATTGACTGATTCTGTTATTTAGGAAAAAATATTTAAAAATATATTTTATTAATAAAGTAAAGAAAAAATTATATGTAAAAATAGCTAAAATGGTCCTCTACGGTAACTTCAGCCATACTGCGAGAAAAGTAACTCCAACATTACTTTTTCTGCTTATTACACAATTCAGCGTGTGAAAACAAAAGATATGTGTTTCGTGAAAAAGGTTGGCTGATAAGCCTGATGACTAAAAACCGTGTTCCCAAACGGCCAAGAAAATTCCAAAAGACTAGGCAGTTTTGTACTTTTGTGGGTGTCATTCAAAAAAAAAAGGCAATACCGAAATTTCAACGCAACACCGCATACCGTATCGAAAATCCGGTATTGATAAAAGTCATACCGTTATCATACCAAAACTTTCGGTATACCGAATTTCGGTAATTCAGTACGGTATGTAACCCATACCGTATTATACCGAAAGTTCACAACACTGATCTTCTTGGAGCTTTATAAAGCATCGGCATATATGCTTAACATAAGAAGCTCATACAGATTGAAACATGTGCCAGTATGCCGGTATTAAATCATTCTACAAAACCTTGGTCAGTAATTAAAGGTTTAAAGCTCTGGCAAAGAGAAAATATCAACACACAAAACTGAGGTCACTAAATCCTAGGAGAAAGTAATTCCTAGAACTTTTTTCTAATCCTTATTAAACATAAATGTAAACAAAAACAGAATAATTCAAAGTTCTGGTTGTAGCATGCTAGATCACAGACCAGATTGAGAAGCTTCAGCAGTGAAATGATTGAAGGTCGTCCGCAGCTCCGTGCTTCGTCAATGGCATCGCTGTCCGCACGAATCTTGACTTCTTGGGAGAATCTTCTGCCATGCTTCATGCCAGCTGCGACTCAAACTCGGGCTAGAACAGAGATGAGACGGCGGCATAGCTTAGAAATCCTCGTGTCATTGCTCCAATATGCGATTAGGTTTAGAGAGCCACTGGTAGTAAGTTAAAGATGGGTTTTTTAGTTTGGGCCTTGATGTTTTAGTTATTTCATTTAATGTCTTTGGGTTGGGTTTGGGCCTTAACAATTTACAAGTTTTATTTCGGTATATACCGAACCATACCGAAAATTAACGGTATTTCAGTATATATCGAAATACCGAAAATTTTAAAAGTGCATACCTGTACAGTACCGAAGTGACCCGGTATGGTATCATACCGTACCGAAAAATTGGGTATACCGAAATTTTCGGTAAAATCGGTATTTTTCGATATGGTATGACCGGTATACCGAAATTACGGTATATTTTCCCACCCCTAGGGAAACCCCTCTACCTATTAGGATGATAGGGAGGGAGGGAGGAAGGGGAGGGGGCAAGCCTACTCTAATATCCTATTTTGTATTGAATGATGTAACATTTTTATTTATATTTCAATTTTTATAAAAAAATTATATCAAAATTTATACTCCGTAACTTTTAATGATCTTTCATATATGATAAACAATGACTTTTCATATAACACCAAAATTGCATATATACAGTTTTTAAGAAAAACCGAAGTTTCAACAATAAGATGTTTTCAAATTCAAAATTCTCAAATCTCAAATGGATCCATATACTAAAATTAAAACTCCATTTTTAAAACAATTGAAACATTTAATAAAGTTATTTTAATAGTGAGATCTTAATTTTAGCACTTGAATCTATTTATGAAAAAAATTTGGCCTAAAAATTTTCTACTGTTAAACCTTCAAAAAATAAAGGAAAAATTGAAAACAATAATCCCAACTATTGCTGGTCCGCTGAAAATAATCCCAACTATTGATTATTTTTGTATAATCCCAACTATATAGACTATCCGCCAATAATGGTCCATGACCATATATTACCTCTATAAAAAGTGAATTTTAAATAAAAATTAAGCGCAAAAATTAAAAGTTGAGATTATTTATAGGGATTACTTGTTATATCTCATCTCATCCACTTTAGAAACTACAAGAATTTATTCATAGGGACCATTATTGGCGGAAGGTCCCTAAAGTTGGGATTATTCTGTAATAATCAATAGTTGGGATTATTATGAGCGGACCGCCAATAGTTGGGATTATTACTATCAATTTTTCCAAAAATAAATTAAACTTTATATATAGAATATTGGTGTCATTAGAAAAATCATAAAAAGTTATGAATTTTGATATGTTTTTTTGTAAAAATTGGAATAAAAATAAAAAAGTTGCCTCATTTATAAGATAAAAATGGGTTTTACCCTTAACATTGCCCCCTCTCCCTCTCACCCAACCTACCCTGTCCATCATCCCATTCGGAATTGCTCTTTCCAAATCCCCTATTCTCAGAAAGGCTAAGAGAAAACCTGTTGCTTTGGGTTTTCTCGCATTCTTATAAATCACCCAACCATTAATTAAGAGTGAATTACTTTAATGGGAGTAAAACATTGAATAATTAAATGCATAAATATGAGTTCAATGTTTAATAGAAGTAAAAGTATAATGAAGTTACAACTCTATTTACAATTAGATAAAAAAAAAAGAATAAGCTAAAACCAAATCAAAACTCTAACACTACTCTGCCTCTGCCTCTGATCTTATAGTTTAGCAGTTGTCCAGTGACTTCGTCGCCTGCTGTCCGGCGAGTAGTGCTAGGGTTGTGATCTCATTCCATCAATTGAAATTTGATGATATGGAATGACTGGGCTAGAAGATCTATCTTATTTAGCAGACAGATTTAAGAGTTCTCCCGTTTTGAATTCCATTCTAGAAACATATTAGTGTAATTTCTGGACACTAATCATAATTTAATCGAAGGAAGAACTGTTATCCGCAAAACATGCTAAGTAAATTGAAAATGACAAAGTTAATTGTTGGGCCGGTCTGCAGGTGTAACCTCGTCATCGTCAAGTTTATATTTGGGGCGAAATAAGAAAAATAAAAACAATGTGACTCAGAGAGAAATAAGCAAAACATAATTTATGTAGTAAAAAATTTGTGGAACAAACACAAAAAAATTGCCAAATTCAAATAGGACAAATAGCATACTCTGCATTATATATTGGCAAACAATGCGACTTAGTTAATTGTTTTGGGGCGTGGTTCCAATGACATCGATGCCTAACGTGAGAACACTCACATGTAAATCAATAAAGCTCTTTTGTTGCACATTTTTAAATTTGCTCAAATTATGCTAATATTAATTAAAACGATGACATTTTGATAATTATTATCGAAAAATACAACAGATGAGTTTCATTGTGCACCATGTCAGGGAAAATGTGGTGTTATCACCTTAATCATTGTTATCGTTTGATTTGTAATCATTTTGCTTGGAATAGTACTCTAGTACAAGTTTTGTTGAATTTGTGAAGGTAATATCAAGGGAAGCAAGAGAGTATGAATTGGGAAAAACAAAGTACTTCTTGGTAATAGTGGGGGATGCAATACTTACACAGTTCTTTTATGTGGGAGCCCTTGGAGCGACGTCGTACGGCTCATCTCTGTTGTCTATGGTCATCATCACCGTCCTCCTCCCCATCACGGAGCTGATGGCCGTCGTCTTCTACCATGAGAAGTTCCAGGCCGAGAAGGGCATCTCTCTGTTCCTCTCCCTTTGGGGATTCGTTTCTTACTTCTACGGAGATATAAAAAACAATATCAAGAAAAAGAACCCGCAACCGGCGACAATGCAATGGCCAGATTCGTTATGTACTACTTGTCAATTGAAATTGAATCTCTTGAATAGTGTGTGACATTTTAAGTTTAAAAAATTTCATTATAGTCTTGACTATTCAATGTGTAAAATATACGTAGTAGATATGTGTAAAATATACGTAGTAGATATTGAGTGTACCATGGATTAAGACCATGAACCAATTACGGGATCAAGCTCTCAACGGGATCAGACTATAAGTAGGATTAGCCTTCTACGGGGTTAGCTCTTAACGGGATCAAGCCCTAAACGGGATTAATATTAATAGCCGTTGGGCCTAATAACGAATCAGGACCACGAGAGGAACCCACAACCAGACCATGCTGGACAGCAGATCTTGAGCCTGGGCGGAATTTTAGTGAGGTTGGGATATTCCTAGGACTTACGTGGCAGGCTATCATTTGAGCATAGCTATCTGGCAGCATGCGGGAATAACAGAAGGAACGTGGATTTAAAGGAACAATCATTGCACAACGTCCAAAACGTTACAGGAGTCCTATTCGACTAATATGTAATTAATAACATTTATTGTATCAGTTTCCTCCTAGAATATTAGTTCCTATAGCCTATAAATACTTCTTGTATATCTCCTATCAAAAGACCAAACTCCGGATTAATAATGTAGCCTTACGCTGCCTAAATTTCATCTGCTCTCGTAGTTGGATTAAACTCCAGCATATATATTAAAATGTATTGGTCTGACATATGTGTATTTTTTTATTGTCAATCTGATGTGGCATGATCTGTTTTGGTCAAATCTAGTCTGATTTGATGTAGTCTAGTATAGCATCATGTGATTTAGGTGTGAAATTGAAACAAGTATAATCGAACTATCTTATGTTCAACTTCATACTAGAGTGACCATTTATATGCATTGTCACTATAATTACATTTTAAATAAATTTATTCAAATAATAATTTTGGAAAATCCTAAAATTAAGGATGAATGCAAGTTAATAACGAAAGTGAACATGGCTTGATTCCGGGGTAATCAGATTTCGGGGCTGATCAGACTTGATCACATTAAAATTATTTAATTGAGCAACGCTGATCAATATTAGGTTCTTACCGCTCTCGCGGCGTAAAGTACAATAATTTAGGAAACCGGGTTGATCTCTCTTTTTTTTTTTTGCCGAAGAACACAATTTTTTTAAAGGAAAAGCAGAGGAAAGTACATAGAAGATACGAGGAATGCAAGAGAAGGAAAACCCAACCCGTAGTGCAACTACGAAAACCACCCAAGAGAACAATAGGAGTTCATTCTAGATTGAAGAGGTCCACCCGAGATTGGGATCGAGTCCTCATTGTGTGCGATCGCTGATGCTTTTTTCTATATAATTTAATTTGAGTGTTCAAATTTTATGTAGGCAAGCAGTTATCCCTCGTGACTAGTCTTGCCTTGTTGCACATGTCCTGGTTGACATCTGAATCCCATAGATCTTCCATGGATGATATAGGAGGTCTTTTCTCACTCTCTGAAGCATGGCCAAGAAATGCATCCCCAGAATATGAGTAAATATGATCAGCAAAGACACACTCTCCATCAACAGAGGGTTGATTACCTGTAAGAACATCGTTGACCTCCAAAGTACCCAAGTTAGTATTGTCTTCCTCATTTGGCCTCATAACCCTTGTTTCGCGATCACCCATAAAGGAGGCAAGAATTTTTTCAAATTCTCTAATTAAAAAATGAGAAACCGAGTCCACTCCATTAGCCATAGATCTCTCTTAATTTATTTTATGTGCAATTATAATCCTAGTAGATGTTCTAGGTCACAAGAGATATCAATTAAATTATTCAAACACAAATTAAATAAAAATCATGCAATTAAACCATCAAGAAATTAACCCTAGATCATGATTACCCCTTCATCGAACCCAAATCCCTAATTAAAACTACTCACAATTTATAAATGAAGTAACAATAGAATTGGAAAAGAAAGAATTAATTGTAATTAGTTAAAAAGATTGAACTTACAAAAAGTCCCAAAATCTTGACAATCCAAGGCTGAAAAGCTCTCAAAAATTCATTCTAGGGTTTATCTCTCAAAGCTCATGGTCCAAAACAAAACAAAACAAGCTGAATATATAGAAAACAACTAAAAGTGGGTGAAATTGGATCTGCACGGTCATGCGCACGGCATGCGACCAACCGTGCGGGCTTCCTTAAAAATATATCAACGTAAAAAACCATTCGCCCGTCCACACGGTCTGGCCTTGCGGACCTCTCTGCAAGCATGATCTGGAGCGGGAAGTGTGCGGATTCCACACGGTCGGTCGTGCAGACCTTCTTGTAAGCAATTTCTGGAGTGCGAGGTGTGCGGGCTCGCGTGGTCCAGCGTGCGGACCCTTTTTAGACCGTTTTCTTTCTCTTTTCTTCCTCGTTCGACCCCGATCGATCCCAGCTTCATTCGTTGATTTCTTTTGACTCTAAAAAGGCTCCGTAATCGCCCCGTGGATGTTTAATGCCTCTTGCCATCTATCGAACGTGTCTCACATCCTTCTAAATTAATCTCTAACGCTGATGTCGATCGGGTTCAAATTCCTGACTTTTGCTTCAAAAAATTGCAAACCAAACTCGGTAAATCATGACTTGATGAGCTAATTAACCCCAACACGCATCCAATGCGTGTTGAAATACAGATTTGTCAAATTTCTCCACACTTAAACTTTTGCTTGACCTCAAGCAAACTGAATTTCGGGACTTACGATAATCACCACATGACATTAATAACCATCATCATGCAGTGGAAGTCAAAAGTATATTAACAGAAAAAGACAAAGTAAATTAAGTAAACTCTTCCCTAAACTACCTCTTTGTACCCTGGCTAAAATTACTGACATAAATAATTACAACATCCTTGAATGAAGTTAAAGCAGCATACACAATTAGTCTTGCTCCTGATCAGGATTTGTGGAGGTGATGGTGAATGATGCAAAAGTCTCTTTCCTTGAGAGTTTGGAACAACCTGACAGCGACTCAATGTATGTGGGAGTTCCGGGGATAATTCTACGAAAAAAATTCAGCAAGACAATAAATATGAACCATCATCTATCTTTATGCAGGAAGTAGACATGGTGTATAACTGATCTAAATCGTCATTGCCATTGGTGCTTTGACGTACACTTGAAGTATGTGAAAGACTAATGCTAGAGATGCAAAAGCCTTTAAGTCCAAATTAATTCAGTTTAATTTTCCTTGTCATGTTGGCAAGAGAACGTCATTTCTTTTGAAAGATCCCCAAATCTCATCTTATTGTTGTAACACGTACGTTTTTTGACTAGGTATCTTATTCCCTTTTTCGTAATGTAAGAGGTCTAGCTACATTAATTATTTTTTCATTTTTTACGGATTTTTGCTAGACATAACCTCATTCTAATCTTGGCCTCATCAAGGAAAGTTTAGTCATGAATGTTAATTGAAAAGGTGAATCCATGCCTACAATAAAATCCTCAAGATATCAAATTCCTAGATAGTAACTGCTCTTGCCCCACTTGGGGCATAGCAACAGTGCAAAATTGGATCCAACAGAACTTTCTAAACTGAGCAAATTCACCCCTAACATCCTAAACACCAAAACGCTGTCAGAAATATTCACGGGTAAGAACAAAGACCATTTTGCAATACAGCTCGAATTATGAGGAAAAGAACGGAAAGGTCATACTCAAAATGACTTCTCATAACGGACTTAATCAAGGTGGGTAGAAATAATGAATTTAAACGAGAAACTAATGTCTTCTTCATCTCAACAACAAGAGTAAGGGTGTTGCAATTTAAGCCTAAACCTTCAAAGATATATTCTAATGGGACACACACAACCCTAGCAAGCTTACAAACAAACAGTTTAAAGAAAAAAAAAATTGACATGACTTTTCTACAAATATACAATTAACACCACACTTAAACTTTGGCATCGTCCTCGATGATCTAAAAAATGCAATATGAATTAGGAAGTAAAAAGGAATGGGTCACGCGTGCTCAACTAGCTCAAGTCAACCAAAGAAAATAAAAGAATAAGATCATGAAGACTTCCCTAGGTATTTGGTCTGTCAAGAACACACACGAACCCGCAACTCAAACAGCACATCATTGATCAGGCTAGAAATCAAGCTGCAAAGACAAACACAAAGCAAAGCGTCCAAACATAATTAGGGGTGGGCAAAAAACCGAGAAATTGGTATACCGCACATACCATACCGAAAAATACCGGAATATTGGTGTACCATCATTTTTAGTACAGTATCATATCGTATCGATTTATTTCGGTGCGGTATCATACTGTACCGATTTATTTCGGTACGGTAAAGGTAAATGTTTTCAAATATCGCGGTGTACCGGTACAATACCTCCCTAACTAACAATTACTTCAAATTCTAAAATATTGTAAAACTCCATTACAATTTTGAGGCCCAAAATTAATACTTGGGTTGGTTAGAAATACTAAAATACAGAAATAAAGGTCAAATTTTCCAAACTCACTATAACCTTCTAGGCTTGTACAACGTAACATTCAAAGAAACTAACCCTAATGACTAATGAGTAATGTACTAATGTCCAGAAACCAGTCCATCTTCGCGATGGGTGAGCCACTGAGTAGCTGATGAGTGAATTGGGATACACTTATGTGGCCAGTGTATCAACATATGATTTTGCGAGTCGAGGCACACAACTTGTCCTAAACTCTTGTTCAAATATTTTTTAAACTATAAAAATGACTAAATACACAATATCTTATTAGGGATAAATGATTTTATATTCATGTTGTTTGAATAATTTTATTTATTTTTGTTAGAGACCATTATTCATTTAACTATATCTATATCGTTCAAATTATTTTAGGAGAATGTGTTATTTTCTTACAAAATTCATATCTTTGCCCCATTCCTCCATACGACCATCCATAAATTGACCTAGAGAGTCAATTTATGGATATTTATGCTGGGGTATATCATTTTCTTACAAATGATATATGGATATTTTCAACCCAAGGACATGTTGAACTGCTTAAATATACTAATAATAATTATTGTTCAATATTGAAAATGTAATCAATAGATTATTAATTTTATTTTGTAACATTCTAATAATGGATTAAATATGTCGCTAGTAACACCGAGTTAGTATATTTTGTAATTCTAGGATAATTTGTTGTATAGGAAGACATGCATGGAAATTTACTGATACCGTGCCGTTACTGAACCGAAGCTTCGGTATACTGAAATGCGGTACACTGAAACTTCGGTAAGGTAACGGTATATAAATTTTGTATATCGAAAGTGATGGACAGTGTACCCGGGGGGTAGCTTATCCGAGGGGTTATTGCGGGAATAACTTAGAGAGAAGTTAGAGCAAACAAGTAGGAGAGAGAGACGATTATATTAATGAACTCGAGATGTTCTGGTCCTTTACAATGGGAAAAGGGGGTGCTATTTATAGTAGTAATAAATGCGATGAGAGTCCACGTGGCGATAATCTAACGGCCGAGGGGTCACCTCAATCGAGTGGCACTGGCAATTGCATGTGTACCGCATTGAATGCGGTGGGTGGATGTGACGTTGCATTAAATGCGGTGGTTGCTTGTCTCCAAAGGGAATCTTTTCGATGATTGAGTTGTTGGCCGAGGGCTCGCCTGCGGCCGAGGGCCTGTGTAGCCGAAGGCGTCGTATAGCCGAAGGCGTCATACAGTCGAAGGCTTCCCTGATTGAGTTGGTAGCCGAGGGCTACTG